ACACACACACACACACACACACACACCAAATACACATTAAAAAGTACGCACAGACATACATTCACACATGCATACGTGTTTGTGCTCACACATAAACTTATGTTTGCGTGCGATCACAACACACATGCTCGCGGTGGGCGCACACACTTGCACCCACCCCTCCCCCCTCCCAACACACGCACATACACACACACTCACACACACACACACACACACACACACACACACACACACACACACACACACACACATACACTCACAAACACACGCACATGCTCGCACTCACAAAGTACAAACATAAACAAATGAAAAATTTTACTGAATCGAAATGTTGTCATCACCCTAACCACGACCACCACAATCGCCAAAACCTTTACTTAGCCCATCTCCACCACCATCACTGTCACCACCATCACAACCAGCCATCAAATGCAAGCCGAAGTTCTAAAGCAGCGCTGTTTATAAAAAAATGCAAGAACAAAACAACAACAACAACAAAAAGGCTGTATCCCGTTATGTTGACTACAATAAAGATAATAATAAAAGAAACAACGGCAATAACAACGGTGATCTCAATAGCTGCTAAGTTCGTTTTGTTGAGCTTTAAAACATAATACAGATGGAATCAAACTGGGCCTGGTCAGGTCTTTCAGTGTAAAGCCTTGTAGCAATGTGGGAACGTCGAGACATCTGCTAGTCTATGTCGTCAACCGATTTTTGTCTGACTAGTCAGTACTGAGAGGTGCAATATATTATTTTGTTCGTTTGTTTTTGTCGTTTTCTTTTTCTTTTTGTTTGTTCATTTTTTAAAGTCGAATCGGATGAAGACAACGTTGTATGTGGTGGAATAGCTAAGATTGTCACTGTAGGCCCCAGAATACATGAGTTCGATTTCCTTTCAGGGAAGCTTGCTATATAGAGTATTTCAGTCAGTCAGGGGGAATAGTTTCCAGTCATCAACATTTGGTTCTGACAAGAAAGGCCGAAGCCGCTTCCTCTTAAGTGATCTACATCGTTTATTTATTTGTATTCTACAATTCTTTACGACACGTTGATAAAGTTCAAATCATTTAAGTGACGGACTTTAAACCCTGCCTGCCAGGGCCAACCAGGCCTGAGAAGGATACAACATCCCAGCAGATCTGAGAGAGTCGAAAAAAAATTTCTACCCTCTCGTGAATCAAACTCCGGTCCCCTACATGCGACAGTGACGGGCTTAACGGCTACCCCACAAATGCCTGTGGTCTAGATTATGTTGAAAAGACGGCAAAAAAATATCAGCCATTCTGAGAAAAACGTTACATTTGACGCCTTGCCTCTTGGACACGTTTCCCATTTTAAAGTTAAATCCGTCCTATCATTTAAAAAGAAAGAGCAACATTCCAGGCTCGGTTAAAAGAAATAGCTTAACAAGGAGGTTGACGGGAAAATAAACAGAATAGATCAGTGATTTATGAGTTAATGTAATGTGGTAGTTCTTCCAAGTCCCAAGTTGAGAGGTACAGCGTCAGAGTTCAAATCTTGGCTATCTCGGGTAGGACAATCTACCCGAATAGAAAAAGTATTTTACCTCGTTTTTCTCAATTCCCCATTTTGATTCTTGACAGAAACAGTATAGACCTAGATTAATGATAGCCGTAAATTCTTAACAGTCTGCAATCATCTAATTTTCAGGAAACCAAAATGTCCATTTCGTGTGACAGGAAGTCAATAGAAATATTGCAAAACCATTTTTTTTAAAGTTGGCCTCCAGGGGAACACAAGACTATAAATAAGAACCAATCCTTTTAATATTGGTGAGTATGTATTCGGCAAACTCTAAAGCTTAACTCAACTAAACCTACAAAAATGTGCGTGCTAACTGGCTGTTATTATTTCAAAGCTTATTTATTTGTCGTGGTTTGTTGGAAAAAATTCCCATCTGTCTTGAATAGAAGTCAACATATTAATTATGAGATGAAATTAGCAAGAAAATGGTCTCCAAAGTGTGATGACTTTCAAAGCTTATGTGTCCTTGAAACCTCTAAATTTACATTATTGGTCCCTTTGATTCATGATTTTCAGTAATTTTTACACTGGTTTCACAACAGTGCATTTTTCTTACCAGCCATAAACCAAAACACTATTCAAATCTAAAGAGTTGCATTGCGTTACTTGGCGTTGTCTTGATTATTTTTTCCAAGAAACGTAGTCTTCCAGGATATTGGCCTGTGTGGTGTGTGGTTAGGGGTTTCACCGTCACTCACAAAAGTTGTCAGTTTGATTCCCGTGTGTGGAGAATTTTATAGAGTATCTTGGTCTTTCTGCTAGGACCATGTCTCCCTCTCAGCCGGAGTTAGCTCTGACAGTCATGGTCATAACGTGCTTCTAAATAATAGTATAATTCATTGTGTCGATGAGGGTGTAAATCCTACAAAGTACAACTATTTCAAGGCGTCAAGGGGTATACAAAGAATAGCGTTTCTTAAAATCAGAATAACAAGCGTTTAATAAGAATGCCGAAACGTTCAAGAGTAAGATCAGACTCAGAGCGCTGGTTTGGTGTGTCCTCTTTTCCCTCTTTCTCATGATTTTCCAGTCTGTTCTAAGTAGCTTACACTCTTTGACTTTAAAATGGCCATCTTATGTTGATTGTGAAAAGGTTAAGGACCCCACTGGCACAGATCCATTGTGTCTAGCAGGGAGTCAATAACAAAGGAAACTTAATTAATCTTCCTAGAGACGTGGTTCATTTTAGAGCGGATTGATGGTATAACATTAGGGTGCCATCATAAAATGAAACACCAAAAACTTACCGTCGTTCCTCAAGGATCCATTTCCCATTTTGGTATTTTAAAGCTTCAGTTAAAAAGCATTCAGGAACTACAAAGAACCCCCCCCCCCAAAAAAAAAGCGGAAAGCCATGCTCCCACCAACTTCTTGGAAAACACAAGCTGATAATACTAACAGTATACGTCCCTATCATTTTTCGTTTCTTATAATGGTGTCTCTTCACCAAACTCGCAAACGGTTCAATAGCCTTGTCCTTTGAAACTACAATACGCCTCCACGGAAAGTGAGACGTGTTCAGAAGATGACAATTATTGTAAGAGATACGAGTACATGGTTCCTAATCCATTATGCTGTATACCATCCTGAAATGTAAACCCATCAAGATAGATCGAGGTTGAGGCTAATTATTATCTTCAACTAGACGAACACAAGGTTTACGCAAACAAAAAACAGCCAATAGTAGGCCTACTTTGAGTTTTGATTTTAACTTTTAAAAGGATAGAATGTCGCATAACGGTGCCTTGAAGGCATTTTAGTTAACAATTTGAAATCTGGGAATGCCTTAAAATGAATACTTACTCGGGGGCGGTTTGTTAACTGGGCAAGACCGGCGGTCCCGGTCAAATTTTTGTCAGCTCTACTGCTGACAAGAGATTTATTGCTGATGATGATTTTCATTCAGTTTTAAGTAAATCCGAATAAACATGTATCAACATTCAAAAAGCACCTTGCCGATTTGAAGGCGTTCAAATAGACATGTGGGATTCACTGCTGTTTTGTCGCGACAGAGCCTCATTCCTTCACCTTTATTTATCGCACCCGCTCGTAACTTTAAATCGTCTCCCGTCACGTCGTTGTGTGTGTGCGTGTGTGTGTGTGTTGTGAAAGAACCTTCACAACACACACA